AGATGACGGACGATGACGTCAGACGAATGAAGTATTGATGTCAAAAGTTCCACATTGAATTTTATGAATCACAAAAGAATTGCCAAATGTTCCACGATGAATTTCCACTGAATGTCTCTCTGTTCGAAGTTCTGACGACGAAGCACTTATTTTGCAGAGAATATAAATTATTCTTAAATAACAAACAGCTCAAAACTAGCAAAAGAGAGAATACTTCTGATTTCTTGAAAATACTTTTGCGACTGAATTACAAAATGAGTGATATTGAATATAAAATCCCACTAAAACATCATTTCGACACTCACGGCTGGTCGCATGATCACTATGCACAAATCACTTAACACGTGCGCACGGATACTCTTATTGAAAATTTAATAATAAAAAGATGTCGATGATACAAAGTTATAACGCAAGAAAGGTATGTATAATCTTGATACTGACAAATCATTTAACTTCATGTTTACCAAGTGTTTAAACGAGGTCAGCAAAGAATAATGCTAATGAAATACTTTTTAAGTTCTGTAGAAGCAAAATGTACTTTATTTAAAAAATGAATTCCGCGTAAAAAAATCATTACGATAAATATAATGCAACAAAATAAAATTAAAAAGAATTTTGAAACTTGCACAAAAGCAATTTAATTACATATACACGACAATAGCAAATTTAATTTGTGTGCAATATGACATATATCGTGTACACGTTATTTTTTTAATTCACTCTCCTATATGGCTCTCATTAAGCGACTTCTTCTCATTTGATTTTTTTGGTTAATGAAGTTATTTCTGTTAAGCTTGGACAGGTAAAAGGTGTTTTTCAGGATTAAGTATAAGACGGAAAAAAGCTAGAATTCTTTACTGGAGAAGTACGCCATTAATTATGGACTATATACAATATTATAGTCCGGCTAATATCCAATATAAATCACACATATCTTCTAGTCTTTTAAAGTATTTGCCTCTCGCAGTTATTGTGCCAGTCCAACATACCTATTCGACCTCACCCATGTGTACACACCAGCAAGATACTTACGCCGCTCATCTGACAATTGTATTCTAGTTATTCCCACTATGAAAATGAAATCATATGGACAACGTTCTATTGCATACCAAGTTCAAGCAAAGTGGAACGAATTGTCCGCTGAATTTAGACACAAAGACACGGTGATCTCATTCAAGAGCGCCCTTAAAACTCACATATTTCAACTGTATGAACATGCTTAAAGAGCTAATAATGTTTTCTTACCTTAAATATTTTCACGTTTTCTATTTTCTAATTTCATGGTATTTTTTTGTAATTATATCATTACATATGTTTGTCTAATGTTGAAAAGCGCTTAAAGCGTCTAAAGATTAGGCGCTGTACAATGTCCTGATTATTTTTGTGTTGGTAAATTTATTATGTTGCAACATGAAAAATACCAATTAATATAAGCAGTTAAAGTAAACTAAATGGGAATGCAACTAAACGTATAAGATTTTTATAAATCAGGCAAATATAATGCAAGCAGAATATAGACGTAATCTTTCTTGTTAATTATATGCCACACATTCCAAAAGATAATGCAGTCTGAATAAAAGAAAAAGCTTTAAAAACATGTGGAAAGAATGAAAAGTTTAACGTATATTTGAGCGCATTTAGGCAGATAACAAAACCAGCATTCATTAACTCATTAATTCTTTCTTTTTCTCTTCTTTGTTAAACGAAAAAGGGGAAAATTTTACTCCCCTGGTTTGTGTTGATAAAAGGAAAGAAACATGGATTATCTTGATAAATGCTGTTAATATGCATTTCCACTTGACTGAACGATTTTTTTTTCTGATGAAATCAATTAGGCATGGAATAGGAAAGAAGTACAACCTGTCAGTTACATATCGAAATTGTTGCATATTTGAGTTTTGGAACATTAGAGTAAAAAGTGATTATATATTATCAGAGAATAAAAAGTGATTATATATTATCAGTTCTTTGTCGAAAAATTGCCTCTTTGATTATTGGAACGTATGTTATACTCAGGATAATTAACCCGTATTCGTTGCCAAGATTGATATTAAATTCTTAGTTTTTCAGTACTAGGAAAACATCAAACACTCTGCGGTACATTTTGTTTGTTTGCCTGTTTGTTTGTTTCTTTTTTATCAAAGACATTTGGATGATCTATTGAAGCTTCTCATGTTCTTCAAATCGCTGATGTTGCCTGACAGGATCTCTAACCTCGTTCAACATTATGAAGTAGACTTTAAGCGGAGATATTTATTGAGTATCTGCAAAAATGATACCTGTCAAAGAAAGCTTACACAGTCTTAATTACTAATGTTTGGATCTTCCTAATTATCCTTCCTGTTTTTATCTCCATCCATCCACTCTCCTCAGAAATCATAATAATCCTGTATAGCATTGCTACCAAATCAAGCGTGAACCACGTCGATGGATCTGATTCCGGCATTAATTATAGAACTCAATTTACAAATATGCATCCCTTCATCTTTGTCACGACACGTAACTTTGATACATTAAGAAACGTCCGTTTTATACTTCACTCAACCTTTAAAGCAGAAAAGGCTTGGATGTCAATCAGTTGGGCGAAAAAATTGAGGTGGCACAACCATCACACTTCGCGTCGAAACTCTTTACTAGGTAAACATGTTTCCAATGATCAGAATGTAAGAGTCTCTCTAACAAAAGTAATTTCTTGTCTGTAGGCATTGAAATTTTACATTCAGAACTAGGGGGAAGGTAGTGCTTATTGCGGAATTTATGTTTGTCAATTTCGAACTCAGAAAATGTTATGACATAATGTTTTTAAATGCTTATCGCAGTAACATATCTATAATTTAACTAGCAAATATTTCGTAATAAAACGATATCATCCACGACATGATAACCTAACTATTTTATCATTAGTAAACGACCCTTACATTCGATAGTCATGAAAATGAACACACATAACACAGTTATACATAACAATGTATATTGACATTTGTTTTCATGAACAATCAATTTGTAAGAAGTATGTTGAAATATTCCATTTATATAAATCAAAGATGAATCTTCAATACTTTTTTGCCAATTCCAAAGAAAACAAAAGAAAATTACGGGCTGCACTTTGTCACTTCTACAAACAATAAAATGTAATTGTGTAAATATAGCAAATGAGTGATATAATTGTCATAATTCGCAAAATTAGAACATTTGGTGCAGCAAAATGCTATGAAGAAACCCACCAAGAATGGAGAAAAAGCTGAGTACTATTAATTTTATCACAGAACAAAACCCACTAACATAATGAAAAAGTGTGCAGTTGATAAAGGTATCGAAAGATCATATGAGATTTTACATACTGAATTTGGGCAAGAATTAAGCGAAAGCAAAGCAAAATAAATGTTCGACAGGCTTGATTATTTAACGCTGCATATAAACAAAGTTTCAACCGATCAGAATAAGCTCATATAATATTTGCCTAAAACTTTTTAAAGATAAACAAGCCTGTATAAATATAATAAAGAGATAATATGTGTACGCTTGGTGCCTTGGAACTTCAAATAAAAAAAAATTTGATGGGTATAATAATGATACCATATAGATACGAAAAACCAGATTAATTATTTACAAGGAAATTAGTTTAGTACGGGCAAAGTATAAGGAAATGGTATATAAAAAAGTCAACGTAATTCAACTATTTGTATTAGTGTACTATGAAAAAATATATGCTTGTAAATATCTTTAGATTAGCAAATGATATATTAGTCAAATAATTAAAAGAAAATATATTCAAATAGCAATATTGGGTTGAATATTAGAAGTATATCTCGAAATCCAATTACGTCTTCATGACTATTGCAAGGAAACCCAAATTTATTCAGAGAAATTGCATGCAGTAGGCAATTATATTTCCTGTTGATTAGTGGCTACAAGAGTACAAAACCAACGGAAGAAAAACTATCGAGTACAGTCAAAGGAAGAAAGAAATATGCAACATTTCGATGTAAAGAAGTACATGCAATTAGGTTCACCATTCATACAAAGAATTGTATTCATGAAACAACATGCATGAAAAGTAAAAGGCATTTGAGATAAAGATCAAAGAATGCATGCTATCAGGGCTTCGACGTACTGAAAAACAATTTGATCTTCGTACAATTAATGGAGAACAGAAGAAATAGGATGACTGTAACAATCTCTACAAATGAATATAAATTTCTCAAATGTCAGAATAATGCTTCAGTCGTCAGGAGGACAATGCGATATAAACATTTGGTGTTGCCCATGAAACTAAACTATCAAAACGGATCACATAGTGGTTTTCCTGTTTCAGAGATAACAAAATGGTTGATTCCTGTTTCAGAGATAACAAAATGGTTGATTCTTGTTTCAGATATATCAGAATGGTTGCTTCCTGCTTGAAAGATATCACAATGGTTAATTCCTGTTCTTAGAGATATCAAAATGATTGATTTCTGCTTCAGTGATATAAATATGATTGATTCCTGTTTCAGAGATATCACATGGGTTGATTCATGTTTCAGAGATATCACAATGGTTATTCCCGTTTCAGAGATATCACAATGGTTGATTTGTGTTTCAGAGATATTAGCATGGTTGATTCCCGTTTCATAGATATCAGAATGGTTGATTCCCGTTTCGGAGATATCAGAATGGTTGATTCCCGAAGTATACTACAACACGATGAAAACTGAGTATGCAGTAACATGAAGGACTTATGACAGATGCATATTAATTATGTATCTTTTTTAAAACATTAAACTTTTACAACGACCTGATTGATGGCAACAAGTTCAGTATTGGAATTTGAACATAGTTTTAAAAATTTATCATTCAAATCGCGATATCTAGAACTCGGGCATCATGCCGCAGACATGTAGCATCATGTCCCACCCAAACACATTATCCTGACATCAGGCTGAACGTCCTAACACGAACTTCTTAATGCAGAACGCCTACAGAGGCAGCGGTTAGTATCATTTTATAAGTCTTTGTCTTGATTCGACAGGGGTTCGAACCCTTGAACTCCCGCATCAGGGGCAAACGATCAAACCACTTAGTCCACCGAAGCGGTCTTCACGAATCAGCTAAACGACACACCAGTTACAGGGGTCTGGGATTAAGAATCGCACACATTCCAAAGCAGGGCTGAGTTCCTATGATAATCAACATTGTGTGTTGGTTATTATAAACAATTTGCATTACAGAGACGTAATCGACAAAAAAATACTATCTAATGAAAAGAAAATTCCATTCTCATTCAGTGTTTGCTCCCTCTTGTTCTGTTACAAAGTAACTACAATTTCTAACAAGAAATCGTTAAAAACAAATTACGCATCACCAGGTTTAAATCACTATTCACCGCGACCCTTTGGAAGTGAGGCCGTACCCGAAACTGCTTGGAGACTTCGATCTCTATCCTATCTATCCGATCAATGCAGTTATCTCTTTAAATTACAAAACACCATTTATTTCCAATGCAATTTATAAGCACTGTTTTTCAGGTTCAAGACTAAAAATGTTTGTATTTCATAATGTGAGATTAGTGTTTGTACATCTTTTTATACTCTTTACATTACATTAAATGGTAAAGTTTGACTTCCAACTTTATTTGCTCTGTTTTGCCTGGATGTAGATGTTGCTTCGTCCATCGTATCTCCTGAATATTATGGAGATTTAAGTGAAACATTTCAGATTTTGTTAAGTTGTGATCAGTGTACAATGTGTAGGAGAAAACTTAGATTGCAATTTGTGTAATTCTACGAAACCAGCCTTTTTTATGTTTAAACGTTTCTGGTTCTGTGATGTCATTGAGACAAGGGTGACGAACAAAATCAACCAATAAACTCAATCATAGAATAAGACAAAAATGTTTCTTACATATGAGGATATAAAATTTGGCTGACATGTTTGGTATCAATCTTAGCAACAAACCTGGCATCAATATATTAGAGTATGACGCATAAAATTATACAATAGTTTGAAGAAGTTTACAAGATGTAGGTAGTTTTGCGTTAGTTTGCAAAGCAAAATATGATTCCTAAAATATGCGACTATGATATTCTCTCTACAGCAGTAAACATAGGAGAACATGAAAGGAAAACATTATTTGCTTAAATTCCTCTCCTTTAATGTCTTGTTGTTATTAGCCGTATTATTAGCACGAGGATTACTTGTTAGTTAAACATAACAGAAAGGGTGGTAGATAAAGGCGGGAGCTATTTTCTTAATGTTTTCATTGATCCCACACAGCTGGGGATAAAGCCTAAAACATTTCACTTAGCATGAAACACACTTAACTGGCTTAATACAGGAACTCCAGCATCACTAAGGATTTCAGGCCCTCTTAATGTATTTTTGGTCTTTGGATTCGTGCTGATTGCGTTATTTATGCTTTGTACACTTCGGTATCATCGGTATCTATACTTGTTTATTGTCCGTACTTTTTGTTCCAAACGGACCTTTCATGGGACATGCATCGACACTGGCTACGTAAGTCAATATTTACGGGATCAATCCTCTTTGGTATAAAGTACAAGAAAGCGCCTGCCATTAAAGGAAATGATATGTTTTGCACTAACCTTTGTTTATATTGATACAGGAAATAACTTGAAAAGTAAGGTTGATTTGAACTTTGCCAGCCTCGAATTGTTTTTTTATCACTCTTGTAATTTAGTAAATGAGAGAATATAGTAAGGCTGTATTACAGAATACAGTAAGGCTGTATTATAAATTTAGCAAGGCTGTATTGCATATATATTAACTATGTATTACAAATACACATAGGCTGTATTGTAAATATAATAAGGCTATATTACAAATACACAAAGGTTATATTACAAATACAACATGCTTGCATTATATATATATATATATATATATATACATATATATATATATATATATATATATATATATATATATATATATATATATATATATATATATACAGAAAAGATATATTACAAAAACAGAAAGTCTACATTACAAATGCACAAGGGCTATAATACTAATACAGAAAGATTATGTTACAAATACAGAAAGTCTGTATTATAAGTACGCAGAGGCTACATTACAAATACAGAAAATCTTCATTACAATCACAAAGGCTACATTACAAATACAGAAAATCTTTATTACAAATACACAAAGACTATACTACAAACACAGAAAGGATATGTTGCAAATACAGAAAGTCTATATTACAAATACAGAAAGTCTATATTACAAATACAGAAAGTCTATATTACATATACAGAAAGTCATTATTACAAATACAAAAAGTCTATATTACAAATACAGAAAGTCTATATTATAAATACAGAAAGTCTATATTACAAATACAGAAAATCTTTATTACAAATACACAAAGACTATATTACAAATGCAGAAAGTATATACTACAAACACAGAAAGGATATGTTGCAAATACAGAAAGTTTACATTACAAATACAGAAAGTCTATATTACAAATACAGAAAATCTATATTACAAATACAGAAAGTCTATATTACATATACATAAAGTCAATATTACAAATACAAAAAGTCTGTATCACAAATACAGTACGTCTATATTACAAATATACACAGGCCGCATTTCAAATACAAAAAAGGCTATATTAATAATAGAGTAAGGCTATATTATTACAACTATAGCAAGGCTATATTACAAATACAATACAAATTGCTCCGGTGAGCTAGCCGTGGGAGGTCGTGGTTTCAATCCCCGGTCGAGTCAAACCAAAGACTTACAAAAATGGTACTAATATCTGCCTCGCTTGACGCTCAGCATTAAGAGGTTAGTGTTAGGACTGGTTGGCCTCTTGTTAAGTTAATGTGACCAGTGTGGGGTTTAGACAAAGCTAGGCCCTAAGCTATGGGAATCTATAGAGACTATATTTGGTATAAAATAAATTTGAAGGGCATCTTCAAACTGAGTTCAGACTTTGGGGCCCTAAGCTGTAGCTTGTTTAGCTTATGCCTAAATCCGGTACTAAATGAGACTGGGTGGGACATCATGCTACCTGTCTGCGGCATGATGCCCCAGTGCTAGACATCACTATAAACTGTCACACATCTACGTTAAAAATCATAATCATACCACACCACACCACACCACATTACATCACATCACATCACATCACATCACATCACATCACATCACATCACATCACATCACATCACATCACACCACACCACACCACACCACACCACACCACACCACACCACACCACACCACACCACACCACACCACACCACACCACATCACATCACATCACATCACATCACATCACATCACATCACATCACATCACATCACATCACATCACATCACATCACATCACATCACAAATACAGTACGACTTTATTACAAATACAGTAAGTCTATACTAAATATATAGAAAAACCAAATTACAAATACAGTAAGGCTATAATACAAATAAGGAAATGCTACATTACAAATACAGAAAGTCTATATTACAAATGCAGAAAAAGTCCACCTTACAAACACAGGAAAGCAAAATAACAACTACAGAAAGACTAACCCACAAAAACAATGTATACGTCATATCCTGTTTATGTTTTGTCTCCTTAATCTACACCTTATTAGGCGTAATCAATTATTTTGTATGCATTAATTCAGGTCAAGCAATTTCTAAATGTATTTATAGAGTACGAATTATATTCCTTAATGTTGAACATAGGATATTTTAACATATTTCGTAGAATACATTTAATAAAGTAGACATCAACTTTCTCTTTCTACTAAATACATTTTTCTAGTCAGTTAAATTTATAAATTTGAGAAGGCATCCTACTTTTTCCATAGTAGAATTATTGTTCACTGGTTGGTAACAAGAAAATTTTAAAAAATTCATAAATACTCTCCGCAACATCACTGCATTTTATTATTGCTGTTATTACTAAATAATTTACTTAATTAAAAAAAATAACAAAATTCTCAATTGTTTTTCTTTTAATTTTCGTTTCTTCACACTTTTTTACCAGGTTTAAATTCTTCAACGCTCTCAGTTCCTACTATCTCCGTTGAAACTTTATACTCTTCTGTCTCTTTAGTCATGTGATGAAATGTTAAATCGACTCACAAAAAATTATATAAAAATATTATACCGATTGAAACAAAATGATTACAGTTCGCTACCCACTTTTACTATATCACCACCCCACCCCACCCGAATCCTAGAGGTGAAACGAATCTCATTTGAATATGTTGATTTAATCTCATACAAATCTCATCTGAATATATTAATTTAATATCATTTATGGAAAATATCAATATTCTGGATGTATAGTCATCTTCCATTGTTGAAACCAGTATCCCCTTACGTTTGAGGATTAATAAAGCGCTTTGATACTATCGTATACGTATTGATCAACGGCTACGTTGCATAATCTAGATTTTAATCAGATGAAACATTCGAAATAAAGCAGGAAATAGAACTGACAATTTGCTCTTCATCTACATCTTCACCTAAAATTAGACTCATCATTGCAGGACATAAAGCCTGTAATCTAATTTGTCCCAAGGCTGCAAATGCTTGTTTCATATTGGCCGCCTCGGTAATGAAACCCTGTCGGGCAGTGTCTGTACTAAAGTTGTCCATTTGATTTGGAGTTTGATACATCAAATCTGCCGAAACGTTTGAATGGCAGTACCTGTCAAGAAAAGAACAAAACAAACAAAGATCCCAACATAAATGCATCAGTTAATTTTGAAATGATGTTTTATTTCTCTAAATCTTGCTTCTACAGCTAAATATTGTAGTTAAGATAAAGATTTTAATCGCTTATACATAATGAGATCAAAATAAACTTTGTGAGATATTTAAATTGATTCATGCTTTGTTACGTGAAATCTTTAATTGGCACTGGGATGTTTGATAAATAGTTCAATTTATCGACTTCAAAAAAGCTTGTGCCATATGACGTCTTTGCTATCTAACGAATTCTATTAATACGTGATTTTGTATAATTGATAGATCTTTTCAAAAAACATGTTCTTTTAATTTACTCTCACATGAACGTAATATTTACCTTAAGCTACACTA